ATGATAATATAATAATAATAATAATAATAACAATAATAATAATAATAATAATAATAATAATAATAATAATAATAAGCTGCTCTACCTGCTTTAAATATTCTACTATTTACATTTTTTATTAGTTTCTGTGATGTGCTCCGTGTCAACACTGAATTTCTGTCCCGTGACCGTCGGACGCGGCTGACTCTCTCATGGCTTCATGGTTGCGTCAAGAAATGTAGAATTTTTATGTTTTTACAGAATCTGGTTTTTGTGAACGGTTTATTTTTAGATTTTTTTTTTTTTTATGAGACACGTAGAATAAAACAATTATTCAGATGTGTAGCTCAGATTTGGTTGTTTTTCCAACCCGAGGAGCAGAATCTGGTCGTTTATTTTTCCCACACTAATAAACAAGACACGTAGAATAAAGTGATTTGATAGAACATCCAGCTTTGAAGCTTTGATTCAGTCGTTTTTCCGGATTTTCCGCATTCTGTTCTTGTGAAAGCAGCTTTGTCGTTTGCTCTTACTTGTAGTACGGCTGTATGGACGCCTCGAAGCCTCCGTATCCGTACAGGAACACCGGATGAGTCCCGTCCTTCTGCAGGCCTTTAGCGTGAACCAGGAACATGGGGATCTGAGTCCCGTCTTTACTGGGATAGAAAACCTGAAAACGCAAATCAGAAACATCAGGTTCACCTGTAGGCAGCAGCAGCAGCTTCTTTCTGAGACAAAACGTGGAGAATAAGATGCTGATGAACGAGATAATAAACAGCGGATAATAAAACATGATTCAGGTGGACAAGGAGGAAACTAAAACACAGAGAAAAGAACAAAAACACATATACAGTCTGGCCAGCAGTGTCTGTGATGCAGTTTTAAAGTTAAAACAACAATAAAAGTCGGTTTGTAGCCGGTTATATGATGATCATAATAACAAACATCTGCATTTATTGAGCACTTTGCAGAGCAGCGATGCAAAAACTCAAACAAGTGGAAAAATAATCTGATTTTAAACGATAGAAAACCAGCAGGATGTTAGAAAAGGAGGAAATATTCCTGAACCTAAAACCAAAGTCAAGTCAGGAACATTTCTCTGCCTCCTGTGCAGCGGATACGACACTGAAACGTCTTTTAATTAAATTATCTATCAATCTAATAACCAATAACATCCATAGTTTGGCAAATAAAGTGGATCTGGACAGAACACTGATTTCTATTTTTATTTTTTAAACACTGAGCTCATATTCTCTGTTTACTCCAGTCTGTACTCATATCTTATTATTCAGAGATGACTGCTGGTGTCACAGTTAATTTAACCTTCATCGTTTTATCCTGACTCATATCCAGTCCTGATTATTTCACCATAACTGTGAACGTTTCTGCCAAATCCGACCAAAGCTCTGAGACACAGACGGACCAACGACCCAAAGACACGATTGTTTCTCCTCAGAGGCATCAAAAAAGAACAAAACAGCTCCTTTTTTTTATAAAATGACAAACATATAGAAAGTGTGAATTAGATTAAATTAAAACTGCGGCGTCACATTCCCCTGTGGGAGGACGCACACCTGGACAGGTGAGCTTACCTGGCTGGTCTGGTAGTCGTCCTGCCGGATGCCTTTGACCTCCACCTCCCTGAAGACTCTGGGTTCTGGGTTCGGCTCGCTCAGGTCGCAGTAATAGATGATGCCTGGTTGGATATTTAAAGAACTCAGCATTTAATGAGGAATCCAACGTAGAAGCAACTTTAACAACAATCACGTCACATCCAGCAGCAGTAATGTGGAATTTAAAGTTGTTGTTTTTTTTTAATCTCTGAAGATCTTTTTTCTTTTTGTGTGTGTGTTATTCCTAACAAACAAAATAAAAAAAGGAAAACTGCCAGGCGACTATTTTATGTGCTATTACCTAAACCAGCTTTAAAAACGACTTCATAACTCTGGTTTTGGGCTTTTAAAAAAATGTGATCCTTGAACTAAAATCCTGAACTAAAAGCAGCTTCTTGTTGTTTTTGTTGCTGCCACACGTAGAGACGAACATGAAGGCAAATAAACAAATAATAGACTTAAAGATGAGCGCAAATTATATAAAGAAAAAGAATTTAGAGCGCTGAGAAATATTATATAATCAAATAGTAATCAAACATTATATAATCAGTATTTTATAATAGTTTAGAACCGGCTGTAGTTTCACCAGCGGCGTCGGGGTGTTTTTGTTTTTAGCTCTTTTCTCATTTTTCTTCACTGAGGTTCACGTTTCTGTTCAACATCAAGTCCTGCAGCTGAACCAGAACATGACGAAGGAGAAACTCAGACACATGTTCATGTGCAGAATGACACAAAGCATTAAAATAATAATAATTATAATAATTTAATTCATTCATTATTATTTTTTTAATTTTTTTATTTTACTTTTTTATATTTTAATTTTTTTTTAATTACATTTTTTTTATTTTTTTTATTTTAAATATATACATTTTTAAAAAGCATTTTAATTTAATTATTTATTTCTAAAAAATTAGACAAAAATGGAATCAACATGTGCAACATTCTCCCCAGTAATTTAAAGACGTTATTAATGCTGGGGGGGAAAAAAAAACCCAGCGGCTTCACATATGATATGATATATTTATGGCTTGTCAGCATAAACACCACCTGCAGTTCAGCAGAAAAATCCCAGAATTTTTGTTATCTGACCATCGCACGCAGCCGAGTCACTGATGGTGTTCTAGTTGCACAGAGAAGCAAAGAATTTTTTGTTTTTTACAGATTCTGCTTCGAGCAAACTGTCTATTTTGGGGCATTTAAAAAAATAAAAATATTTAGACGTGTAGAATAATGGGATCATTTTTCACTAATTTGTGGCAAAATATCGGAAAAAAATATCAGAGTAACAGATAAGACAAGCAGTTTCACATTTTTTTGTCCTCTTATTAAAAATCTGCCGATACATGAAAATAATAAAGCATCAGAATCAATATTGGTGCTAATTACTGACACATGATGATTATTTAAAAGATAATAATTTACTATTGAGCACTGATTAAAGGGAAAATAATACTTTTTTCTTTTTTTTTTTCATTAAAAAAAACAAATAATGGCATCATGTAAACAAGTTTAAAGAGTCAAATCCTTAAAACTGGTGACTACCTGGTTGTTAGAAGCGTTTATTAATAATTCAAACGGCGCCCGTGTCTGACCTGGTGTGGTGAAGGACGTGAACTTGTAGAAGAAGTCCGAGTGCTTCTTCTTGCAGCTCACTCCGGCCACCGTGCCCACGTCCAGCGGCAGGTCTCGGACCAGCCGGCCGCTCGACAGCTCGTAGATCTGCAGGATGTCCTTCACGTCGTGCACGAAGTTCACCAGCAGGTGCTGCTGGTTCACGCAGGACACGAAGCCTGGAGCGAGACGGGAAGAAAAAAGGAAACATGGTGAAATATGGACAACAGCGTTTCCAGGGAGACGGTGTGTGTCTGTTTGTTGTCGTCTCCACGTTCACGTCTGTCGTCACGGTGAGGACGAGTCATCTCTGGGACGAAGCCAGATGGAAGAACTTGACAGCTGCAGGCCTGACCCTGACCTCTGCAGAGGATCCAGAACGCGGCAGCAACCAGCCCAAAGCAGCACACCTCGGATCCATCACTGGCTTCCAGCAAATTCAGAACCCTGACACTTGCCCCCAAAACCCCAACGAGAACAGCTCCCTCCTACCTGAACCCTCTCCTTCAGGTCTACACTCCCTCTGCTCACTAACTGGACCAACCAGAGCCTCCTGGTCCAACCACCACAACAGGGCTCAGGTCGGTAGCTGGACTCTCCTCCTCTGTGGTTCTGGTGGTGGAACGAGTTACCAAACTGTTCAGCCTGCTGACTCCCTCTCAGTCTGTAAGAACAGAGTAAAGAGCAGCTCCTCATTCTGCACTGAGCCTGAACACAAACAGGTTGGTTCCTCCTGACCGGATCCTTGCTGGTGCTGTATCTGCTCTCAGATGGACGTCGCTGTGGATAAAAGCGTCTGCTGAATGAAATTGTAGAGCGTGCAGATAAAACAGAGAATCCATCGACTGTGGCCCGACGCAGTCCCACAGAGCGCCTGCAGGGGGCAGCAGGACCCGCCTCAGCGCTGCCGTCGCCAGGAGACCGTGTGGTTACCAAGCATCAGGACGAGGACGGTTCTGGGCGGCGTGATGATTCAGTGACTTTCTGCTGCAACATGCTGATGCAGAGATTTTGCCCCAAAATAAACAGGGACTGACGTGACTGAGCTGATTTCTGACCCGTAGCACGGCAACCGGACGGCGTTACCGTAGAGACGGGGCGTGTTTGAGCTCAGAAAACCACCAGAGCCGATGCACCGAATCCAAACGGGCTGTTGTACTGAATATGTAGGTGACAGCAGCAGCAGATCTTTTATTAGATTATCTGCAGCTCAATCTTCACACAGCGCATTTAGTTCTGTTCTGGTTCTTATTTTATTTGATGTGATGACTTTCATTTGTTCAGCTTCCTTTAGTTGTTGTTTAACAAACGGAACAACACTTCTGTGTTTAAGGAATATTTTAAAAGCTGAAGCGATATTATCAGCAAACTTTAGTCGCCTCCAAACAGAAAACTGGAGGAAATAAAACATTAACAACTTGAACAAATAAAGGAGCATCACTGATAAACAAACTGCTCCTATTTAGCATTTAGAACCAGCGTATAAATACTAATACACGCTAACGTAGCTGCTAAAAAGACCTTTTAAAGAAGTATTTATTCATTAACTACGATCTGTTCAAGCAGCTGATCAACACATTAACATTTAAACCTGCTGAACAGCATGTCGTCGTCCTACAAAAATCAATTTACTTTTTTTTTTAATCACCAAAATGACACCTTATATTAGAGAAAATAGAAATCTGTACAGGAGCTGCACAGAACAAATGATCAGATTTTCAACTGTCCGACGGTCCTTGAACTACTCACCGGCTTCCAATCGTCACATTTCATCAAAATCGTTTTATTCTACATGTCTCTTTTTATTTATTTTTTTTTAAATGCCAAAAATAAACCGTTTGCAGCAACCAGATTCTGTTAAAAACTAAAAATTCTGAGCTGCTCGTCGCAGCCAGGAAGACGTCAGCGACTCGGCTGTGACCAACAGCCGGGGGACAAAAATTCAGAGACTTTTCCGGCTGAACTGCAGCAGACGAGGCTGGAAACAAACATAAAATCTGAATGTTTAATTATCCATCACTTGTCGAGCCACATTTACTGTCCAGTGTGGGTAATAAATCATTTCAAAAATGAACTTTTGCTTTTCTGTTTCCCGTTATTTCCAGCTTTCTCTGGTTCTTCATGTTGTTCTGGTTCCACAGAAACATGAGACAGGAGCTAAAAACAAAACCTACGGCGGGTTCTGAACTACTTTTAAACGCTGATTATAGGTGTAGCGCATAAAAATATCTCCCAGTGATCCCACAATTCTTTGTCTTTATATAATTTGCGCTCATCTTTAAGTCTAATGTGTGTTTATTTGCTTTTATATTCGTCTCTATGTGTGACAGGAACAAAAAAATCAACAAGAAGCTGCTTTTAGTTCAGAAAGTTAAAGGATCAAACTTAAAAAACTGTGATTTATAAACTCGTTTTTAAAGGTTGGTGTAGGTACAAGCACAGAAAACAGGTCTTTTGTTCTCAAGTATGATTTAAACATCGATCTTTTGTGTTATTCCAGTGTTTGTTTACTTGGTTGTAGTGACTCACTGGTTGGTTCACAACCTTGTCAGTGGAAAAATTCACGGCCAGGTTCGGTTACCATCACTCGATGACTCACGGCGGGAGAAAAAAAAGAGAAAGAAGGTGCGACAAAGTGCTTATGGACCGAGTTTCACTTTTTGAGCAGAGTTCCCTCTGACGGAGGCTTTCGACCGCAGACGCTCAGCTTCCTGCTTGTTGTGGTCTGAATGTCATCGAAACATTGGGACAGAGATTCAGCGAAAAGGCGGTTTTGCAAGATTTTCACAGCCGAATTGTGGAAGCTCGTTTCCGCGTACCGGCCCGTTACGCACTTCTGAACGCCGGCGGAGTTTTCTCATGACCCGGCGTGAGGCCGCCGCTGTCGTGGCCAAGGCGACGTGTGGTTTTTAGATTACTGGCAGGCTGCTGCGCGAACCCCGCGTTTGGATTCACGCGTGGAGAACCGATACGGCGCAGGGCATTCTGGCAGAATTTCCGTCTCACCCAGGACGTCCTTGTCGTGCTGCGGTATCAGGGTGGTCCAGTTGTGCCGCTCCGGTTTCTGGAGGTCGATGTTGATCAGGCGGTACCGAGGGGCGTCCAGGTTGGAGCGGAACGTGAAGACCGTTCCTTCGTTGGTCACGTAGGAGTACTGGGCGTCGAAGTTGTCCACGAGCTTGACCCACGGCAGCAGACCTGAAACACAAGACGTCCATCAGGTCTTCTGCAGATTTCGTTGCTTCAAACACAGTTTCTCTCTGCAGAGTTCGTTTCCAGTAAACATACGAGAACAGGCGGCAAGACTACTCTCACATGTCGCTAAATACCAGCAAGCACCAGTTTCTGTTCTCACGTCAGCATTTATTTAAAATAGCTCAAATCGGGCGCCGCTACAGCTCACCTGGTTGTATCATGTGTAGGGCTACAGTCGCCATGTGGAGGTCATGAGTTTGAGTCCCGCTCATGGTCCTTTCCCTCATGTCCTCCCCCCATTCTTCTCCCCTACTTTCCTGTCTCTCTCTCACTGCTCTATCCAATAAAGGCACAAAGGCCAGAAAAATAACTTAAAAAATATATATATATCTCAAATCTAGAACAAAATAAGAGACACAAAATAAAACGGAGACGACAGCAGCGGCACAAAGAGACGTAAACACCAGAGAGGAACGAACACAAAGAGGCAGAAAACGACATGAAGAAGCTGTTAAACACAAAACCAAGAAAAACCAGGCGAAGAAATGACAAACATGGGACACGATGAAACAACACGAACGAGACAGACACATGTTGGTCCACAATCTACTGACTCTGCTCATCCAGAACCAACATCTAGAACCTCTGGACTCCAGGTTCTGGTTCCTACCAATGATCCACATCAACATTTAGTCTGAACATGTAAAACCAGAACCTTGTCTGGTCCAGCTTCACCACATCAGGTTCTGCTGATGTTAGAGCCTCAACAGGTGGTGAGATGTGACCAGAGACTGGGTTCTAGTAGAACCATGGATCCATCCATAGACAGACACTGACAGGAACTTTATGGAGACACAAGACCAGCTGAAATGGAAGATTTTGAACTTTCTTTCTGTTTTAAAAGACCAAACATGATTTGTTTTTGTCATTTAGGACAAGTTTTGACTCATTTATGAGAAGCTTTATTTCATTTTAACAAATGTTCAGTGGTTCTGGACTGATTTTGTTTAATTTTGGACAAGTTTCAAGTCAAATTAGCAAAACATTGGAACCTTGTCTGGTCCAACTTTCCAGAACCATGGATCCATCCATGTATATACACTGATAGGAACTTTCTGGAGACACAACACCAGCCTGGACTGAACATTTATCAACTTTTGTCCATTTTAAGGGACCAATTAGTCTTTATTATTGACATTTAGGATCATTTCTTGTCATTCTGGACCAGTTTTGAGTCACTTTGGACAGATTTCAAGTCAAAACAACAACAAACTGGAGGGCTGGGGTCACATTTCCACAAATTATCAGGATTTATTGTTGACTTTTTGGACAAAACTTGGGTTGTTTTAAACAGAAGATCACAGAAAACCAGAACCTTGTCTGGTCCAACTTCACCACATCAGGTTCTACTGATGTTAGAGCCTCAACAGGTGGTGAGATGTGACCAGAGACTGGGTTCTAGTAGAACCATGGATCCATCCAGAGACTGGGTTCTAGTAGAACCATGGATCCATCCATAGACAGACTCTGACAGGAACTTTATGGAGACACAACACCTGCCTGGACTGAAGACTTTTGCACATTTTTGTCCATTTTATGGGGCCAATTAGTATTTCATTTTTTTTCCTTTTTTTTCATTTTGGATGATTTTGAGTAATTCTGGATGATTTTTAATCACTCTGGATGAGCTCAAAGTCATTTTTGGACAGATTTCAAGTCGAAACACCAAAACTGGAGCTAACGTTACACTTACACGACCTTCCTCGGGACACAAAACCAGCCTCATTTGAAAACTTCACACTTTCTTCCACTTTCAAGGCACAATAATCAAACTGTGTCCTGCTGGATCCGTTCAATCATCTGATCCCATCTAACTGTTCTGTCGCCACCTTTCATGGCTGTTGGACTTTTATTTCTGGAGAGACGATTAGTTTTAGGGTAAAAATCACATTAAGTTCTGAAAACACTGAGAAAAAACACCAACGCGACGGTTTTACTCTAGAAAGTGTCAGAACACCTGCATGTGGGGAGATTTTTTTTTTAATTCCTCACATGCAGAAACAAGAAGAGCAGATGTTGAAACCTCAACATTTGCTCAAGAAAAGTAAAAATAACTACAATTAACAACCGAATCGTCTCTTTCTCTTCATTTTGTTTCTGGTGGTTTGTCTGAGAGACACATCGCAGAATAACGCCTTCAAATAAAACAGCTGCTGAAGAAAAGAGCACAAACAGTGAAAACTGTTGGTTTCTGCACACGTCGCTGTTGTATAACACGTACGACGCTTCAACTTTTGATCTTGATCCAGCTGCTTTCACACAGTCATCATCACGCAGAGCGACTGTTCAGCTGAAACCGCTGCCATCAGGCCATTCTGACATAATCTGATGAGCTTCAGCTGCACGTTTGTTCTACTTTCATGCATTTCTGTGACTCCATCTTTATTAACTTCCTCTATTTTCCAGTGAAACCGTCCAAGCGGCACGTATTCGCTTTCTGCTAACAGCAACAGAAGCAGACACGACTTTCATCTTCCATTTTCTGCTCATATTTTGGAATCATTAAACGCAAAACGCTGCGTTTTGAGGATGATTTGTTGTAAAGCTGCACATCTTTACGTTGGGAGAAAAACAAACGATAACAATCAGATAAGTTAGAATCTGTTTTGATTAAATTCATCTGATGAAAATAAAGAGTTTCCACTTAAATCATGATTCTGTCAATAACTCATGTGTTGTGTCATCGGATTTTCATGAAACGCTTCAGTGTGCAGAGATGTTTGTATTTTATCTGAACCACCAGCTACGAGCACGTTGTCATCATTTTAATGCTGGAATTTAAGCTTCATTGCACTAAACGAGGCCCGTAATGCAGCCACATGAGCACAACAGAGTTCGTGCTGCTGTTTCTGCAGAAATGCATTGAGCGTTGCACCGATGACTCTCACCTTTGATGCCGTCGGGGAGCTGCTGCAGGTCGCAGTACCACAGCTGGTTTACGGGCTCACAGCCCTCAGTGATGGACAAAACGGCAAATCTGCCATCGTCCGATATCTGCAGGAGTAAAGAAAACACGTTGATATGAACGGAAGCTTTAGGAGCTGCTAATTATAGCGTTGGCGGAACATCAGTGGAACGTTGGGGATTAAACACAGATTCCTGACGATTATTTCACAGGTGCAGCAAAAGGACACGCGCTCGTAATTAAATTATCGCTTCAGGCCTTTGGCACACATGAAGTGAACGAGCTTGTTGTTCCACTACTTGAATCATGAGCACTGTGCACATCTAATGTCAGCATTTTTCTACTCACGGACCAACCGGTGCAGCATTAGCACGTCTGCATCGACTTTTCTACTCAGGAAAGAGTCTGTGCAACATGTCGACGCGATCTGAGCTGATGTGTATTTTTGGTTTATTTTTGTTTTCCTGCTGATCAGAATGCATCGTGTACTGACACCTGTTAGACGTGCAGAGCTGCCAACTTTCTACACGCTGCACTTTAATGTCTGTGATTTATTTGGATTTGAGAGAATATTTGTGAGTACAAGTCAAAATGCTGCACTTTCATATTGTTTTATTTATTTGAAAGAACATTTATTTTATCAGCCGGTCTGTTCAGCAAACCAGAATTTAACCAAAAACAAACAAAAAAAGGTTCTTCCTGTTTTTGATGCACTAAAAACGTACTGAACTGTGATTTTTGTGTGAAGTTAAACTCGTAGCAGCAGCAAAGGTGGTGAAAAACACTTAAAAAGACCACAAGCAAGTAAACATTGAACAGGTTTAGACCTCAACAACCAACAAACACGCCGACTTCTGTTGACAAACCTGGACAGTAAATATAACCTCAACTTTATGTAAATCCGTCGAGGACCTCTGGATTCCTGTAACAGGGCTCCTGGTCCAGCTCTCCGTTTATGGGTCAGGTTCTAGCTGCCTATAGATCCTTGACCTGCTAGGATTCTGCAGAACTGCTTCAGCTGGTGTCGAGGAAACCCGCCTACCGTCTAACTTCCTCTAATAGTTGACTCAACTAAGTAGCCTCAGTAGTAAATTCACTCCACCAGACACATCTGTTGGTGGCAGCGTTCCTCTAAATGGATCGAGCACTTGGTGATTTGCTGGGTTACAATTTAGAGGTTTGGGAGAACGAACCCCAGGGATCTGTTTAAAAATACTATTTTACTCATGACTTACAATAACCTTGAAGAACCACGATAAAGATCTCATGCACACAACTGACTAACTTTTCGCCACCATCAGATGCTGTGATTGAGCCAATAACATTTAAAAACAAATAGTCTGTAAATGCAGGATTCAATATTTACTGCAAACCTTCAGCAGGGGCAAAGCGACAGCTCTTCATTATTTGCATGGAATTGAACGTAAATTATGAATAAAAAAGCGATTGAAGCGGACTCACGGTTGCTGAGCTGTGCCACTTGGGATGTTCAGGAAACTCTGCGACCAGAACGTCCTGGGACTGCTCGGTGCCGATGACGTGGTAGTAGAGCTTCTGGTTGACGTTGGAGGTTGTTTCTGTGCCTTTAGACGAACACAGAGAAGCTCAATCGTGAACTATCCATCCATCCATCCATCCATCATCTCTACACCTTAATCCTCACCAGGGTCATGGGGGGCGGAGTCTATCCCAGCTGACTCAGGGTGAAGGCAGGTTCACCTGGACAGGTAACCAGTCTATCACAGGGCTACACTTAGAGACAGACAACCAAGCACACTCACATTCACACCTACGGACAATTTACAATCACCAATTAACCTCAGCATGTTTCTGGACTGTGGGAGGAAGCCGGAGAACCCGGAGAGAACCCACGCTGCACGGGGAGAACATGGAGACTCCACGCAGGAAGATCCCGGGTGTCCTCACCGGGACGCCAACCGGCGACCTTCTATCTGTGAGGCCACGGTGCTAACCACTGATCCACCTGCAGCCCAATCGTGAACTAATTTAGGTTAAACTGCTGTTAGCTGGACATGTGTGTGCCTCCTCCTTACCGTCGGTCTTTCCCTCCTGGCGTGGGTAGCAGTTGTAGAAGACGCCCTTGGCGTCGTGAGTCCAGGCCAGGCAGCTGAACTTAACCCTCTCCAGCACGTCGGACAGCGGGGTCAGGTCGTCGGCCTTCATGAAGCGAATCGTCACCCAGTCGGACCCGCTGCTGCTCAAACCGTACGCAAAGTACTCGCACTCCTCCGACAGGCGGCCCACTGAAACGAGACACGCATCATCACAGAGTCGGAACCAGACGTCAGCGTCCAACAACCGAAACTCTGCAGCTCGACTCACTCTTCAGCGCCACGGTGCCGTCTTCGGACAGTTTGTTCGGATCGAAGAACACGGTCGCAGGAGCGTCCAGAGAGTCCTGAACGTACAGAACATCCTGGTTCTGGAGGCCTTTGTTGTGAAAGTAGAAATACCTGAACAGGAAATAGGAATGCGGTTGATGCCTGTCACACCTGTCACACAGGTGTCATTGAGTGACAGCACAGTTTATGTCAGGATGCAGAGTTTAAACAGTTAGCATAATCCACAGTCAACCTCATTATTAGGCAGTAATTAAGTATTTATTGACGAATATTGAGCACAATGGCTGAGATTGTCTATAATTGCAGCTCTGTTGGAATATGAAACACCCATGAACTCTGGTTGGAGGTCATGAACCTCCTCAGATTCAAATGTCCATACTACAATACGGTAACAAAAAGATTTAGCATGTTTGCGTAATGTGTAAACCAGAGTAAAATGCCAGAAACACCAGGACGTCCTACTACATCCCGTCGGTTCTTCTGGCGTTTCTGGCTCACAGTCCTCAGCAGCAGCTACGTCACGTCGTCTCACGAGTATAAACAAGTTTGAACCAACCAGAGCTCACATGCAAACTGAATAAAACTATACGTGTTCTGTGAGGGTAGCTGTACTGAAAGTGAAATGAAAAAGTACCGTAATGTCTGGGCTATAAGCTGCTACTTTGAAGCTTTATGGATTTGTACGAATTCCCCTGGAGACCAAAGTGAGGCTGAGAGCGACGACGACAGAGAGACTGAGGAAGTGATGAAGTGATTCTGAGGCTGTTCAGCTCCTGAAGACACTGAAGAAGACGACT